GGCGGGGCGTCCAGGGCCTCCAGGGCCTCCAGGGGCGGGGTGTCCAGGGGCTCTAGGGGCGGGGCGTCTGAGACGGGGTGTCCAGGGGTGTCCGGGGTGGGGCTCTGGGACGGGGCGTCCAGGGGCGGGGCATCTGGAATGGGGGACAAAGTGCCCGCGGGTGCAGCCAGCCCTGGGCCGGGACGGCGTCTCAAGCTGGGCCTCGCCGCGTCAGCTCGCCCCACAGTCCCTCCGGGCCTCGGCCCTGCGCTGGCGGCGCGCCTGGCCCTCGTGAGGGCCGCCCCTCTCCATGCCAGAGCGTCCGCGGGCTTCCAGGACGGGGTGTCCCGCGTGTCCACTTGTCCTCTAAGCGGCAGGGAAGCTGCGGGCGCCGGCGCGGTCCCCGGCCCAGCCGCCCTCCCAGGCCAGCTCGCAGCACCGCCCCTCGCCGTTCTCAATGCCATTTTTGGAGTTTTCTGCCTGCCGGGCGTCACGGCCCTGCCTCCGTCCTCATAACAGAAATATTAAGTCACAGCAGCCTCTCCGAGAGGCCCGTAATAATAAACAGGGCAGAGGGCGACCTCGGCCACTGGTAACTTGGTGGCTTGGAGCAGCGGGTGCAGGGGGCAGTGTGGACCCGCGGGGCCGGCGCCGCGCAGGGTCGGGTGGGGGACGTGCTGGGGCCACCTGACCCCGCAAGGGCCCCAAGCACCAGGCCCAGGCCCAGGCGCCAGCCTGCGTCTGGGGATGGGGGGTGTTGAGTCCGAGTTCGGGTTTCAGTGTTGTTTCACTTTTGTGGAAGAACGATCTAGGCCCCGCGGTCACGACGCAGCTGGTGGACCTGGCTGGGGTGGACCTGGCCGGGGTGGACATGACCCGGGTGTCCATGCCCTCTGGGCCCCGGGTGCCCCAGCTCAGGCCTCAGACCCCGCGTCCTCCTGAGCGCCAGAGCAGCCCAGCGCTCCCGCCCGCCGACAGCCTCCCCGGCGCTCACCCCTGGCTTGCTCCTCTTCATGGGACGCCGGGATTTCTGCTGAGAGTGTCAGGCCTTCGCAATCACTTTAAGCGACACCAAGCGGTTCCCGATTCATCACCCAGAAATAAGCCAAGAATGTGCTTTATTGCAGCCCCCGGAGAGAAACAATTGACCTTGCAAACTGCTCTCAGGCCTGTCTTTTACACATTGGCCCTAAAATCCCATGAATTTTCGGAAAACACAGAGTCCTTAAGAAACAAAGAAAACACAAAACAAAGAACAAGAACTGCACGCGCGGAAGAGCTTCGAGATCGCCAGCCAAAGGCTCCCAAGGGCCGTGGGGGCCCGGTGCTTGCGGGCAGCTCTCTGGGGGAGGGCGGAGGGAGGCGTCCTCCCTGCTGGGCCCAGGCGGCCGGAGAGGAGGCCCCGCCGCTCGGCCCCTCTGCGCAGCCCTCGCGGCACCCCGATGGCGGCTGCGGTGTCCGGCGGACCGGGGGAGGCAGGAGGGCAGCTGCCCGTCACCCCGACGCTCGTGCCCAGCTCAGACCCGGGGGCGACGGTGTCCGGTTCGCTCGGAGGGCACAGGAGTGATCGGGCTCCGGCGAGGGGCTCCGGGAAACAAGGCTCAGGCCCCAGAGCCTGGTGGAAGAGGCGGACTCGGGTCTGGAGGCTGCAGCGCAGCCTGTGGGATGAGGACGCTGAAGAGGCGGCGGCGTGGACGGCAGCGGGTGACGTGCCCCGCTCAGGGAGGAGACGCCGTGCCTCTGCCAGGCCCCGGCCCCCGCCCAGGCCCCGATCCTTATCCTTGCGGAAACGTCTGAACGGGGAGCGTTGCGGCATCTGCAGTCCCAACAGTTCTGACTAACTGGGCTCTCAGTCGGGCGCTGTTCAAACAACGCGCTCGGGACGCTGTGTCTCTCAGCGCTGCGCGCGGGAGCTTGAGCTTGAGGTGACTTTTTTTTTTAAAGATTCATTCATTTATTCACACAAGCCCTGGGCACAGTCAGAAGCGCGGGAGGGTGAGAGGATCCACCAGAGCCAGAGCGGGGAGCAGAGCAGGCAGAAGGACCGAAGGACACTGCTGAGGGGAGCAGCGGGCGGCAGGAGAGGTCTGCACGCCATGGGGGACCCTCGCCCGGCGGCCGGGGAGCAGCCGGGGATCGAACCGGCACCGCAGAGGCCCTTGAGGTGACTTTTATACGCGCCCAGAGGTTGCTGTCTCCAGGGGCGGGGGCGGGGGTGCTGCTGAAGTCTGTGTTTACGGCAGGGGCGGGGGCAGGGGTGCAGTGAGCAGGACACTTAGGGGGAGCAGGAGCGGGGCCTGCAGGGGTGGGGGTGGCCTTGGGCCTGGCCTGGCCTCTGACTGTTCTCTTTGGAACTTGGCCCTTCCTCGATGTGTTTGAAGTCAGATGCTGTGACTCGGGAAAGGTCGAGAATGTTGTGAAGACCAAGGCTCTCCCCCTTCACCTGGAGGGCGCCCCGAAGCCAGGACGGGATCAGCTCCTGGGGGGCCCTTCACCTGCTCCTGCAGCGACCGCGCACGCATGCGAGAGCCAAGCCGCCGGGAGCAAGGCTGCCTCGCACGGAGAGGGGCGCCCCTGCACTCCGGCCTTCCTCGGGGACGAAATGTTTGCTCCAGTGAGTAAGTCGGCGGCCCCAGGGAGGCCCCTGTTGGCTCGGTGGGGTTCCCCTCCCCTGGAAACTGTCCCCCAGGACTTGTGCTTTAGGGGCGTGGTACAATCGCTGCAGAGCTCTGGAAGGACCCCCAAAGACGAAGTGGGCCGGCTGGGAGGGCGTTGGGAGGCTGTGTCCACGTTGCACTGGACACGTGCAGGAGGGGGGCCCCGAGTCTTAGCTGTGACCTGGCAGGCGGACAGGTGCCAGGCCCGAGGCGTGTGCTCCGTGCACCCCACTGCCAGGCCGGCCTCAGGCCGCGGTCACAAAGGGAAGTGAGAAAGGTGGAGCCCAGTGTAACCGGAAGACCGGGGTTCGGGGCACCTGTCACCCCCGAATGCCAGCAGAGGCAGGAATTGAATCTTTAAAGTGCACTTTAATCAGCCCCCCGCAACCTGGAAGACGGGGGGCTAATACCCCAAAGGAGCCGCCTTCATGTTTCATGTCCAGCTGCTTTTTATCGTGAGTGGAACAAAGAGCTCAGCAGCGAGCGGCCTTCACCGCTGCCCGGAGAGGCTGCTGTCCAGCCGGGAGCGCCTCGCCCCCCCGCCCTCCTGGCCCGGCCTCGGCTCGTCGCTGCGGGAGGCCGGGCTGCACACGGGCCGGGCTGCCCAGCGCTGCCCCCGCAGCCTCCGACGTGTCCTGTCCTGGGCTGGGAAACGAACTCAGAGCAGACAGGCGCGTGCGGACTCCCGCCGGCCGCTGGGGTCTCCCGCCTCCCCCCCGCCCGGCTGTCTGTCCCTCTGGCAGTGCTGATGTCACCAGTGATGTCTGCACATTTCTCCCGAGAAGCCGGCACCTCTCGCCCGGACGGCTCGCGCCCCGAGAGCGGGCGCCGCGGCGTGACCTCAAGAGCGCGCTCGGGCTGCGGCCGGAGCAGGGAGGCGGCGTCCGCCGCTGAGGAGGGCTGCCCAGCTCTGTGCAGGACGTGGATTTCTGTTTCAGATTTGGAGCCGTCATGCTCCGTGATGGGATCCAGCTGCCCGCCCGGCACCCCCGATGCCACTGGCCCCTCGTGCCTTTGTTCAGGCTGCGCCAGCCGGGGTTGCCCGCGCCTTTCTGCCTGGAACCGAGGCCCCTGGGGCAGTCCCTGGCCGCTGCCCGTCCCCGGCATCCCAGGGCCAGCTCTGTGGCACAGCTGACTCGGGGCCAAGCCCTGCAAGGTCACTGGGACAGCAGAGACCATCCTGTGGGGCGGGGGGGCTCTTCAGAAGGGCAGAGACCCTGGGAGGGACGCCAGCCAAGCGGCCACCACCGCAGCCCCGGGGGCCACGTGGGGAGCCGTGGGGGTGCCCGAGGGAGGCGCACGGGCCTGGAGTGAGGCGGGGGCCGCTGGCCCTGGGGCTGTGCTCAGATAGGGACCTTCTCTGCGTCGTCCCTGCAGCAGCGGCGAGACCGGGCGTCTCCCAAGAGGAGGGTGACCGATGGCAGCCCTGGCCCCTCGCCAACGGGCACAGAGGGTCCCCCGGGGTGCTGCCACCTGCCCACGGAGGGCGGGAGCCAAGCGGCCACAGCAAGGGCCCAGCTCCAGCCTCACTGGCCTCGGGGACGCGGGCCTGGGCTCTGCGCCTTAAACCCCGTGTGCGGCCGGAAGGAGAGGCTGAGGACGGCTTCGGTGACACGTTTCATTTTAATCTAAGAAAAACGATTAACTTCAAAGTTCAGAAATATCAAAGATGAGCCAATAAATTTAAGGTCACAACCGTTTCCTAAACGCGACGTCACACACTCGCTCGTCTGGGGTTCGGCGTTTGCAGTTAAATAAGACGACACCGCGGGAGTGTCCTTCCGAGCCGGAGCCGGTGCCCCCAGACCCGCCCCCAGCGCCTGCCCCCAGCCGCCGGGGGGCCCGAGGCGCGGCCACCAGGTCCAGCTCGGGCGCCCACCTGGCCCCTGCGAGCGCCAGTGCCGGGAGGGGTCTCTGGCAGAGGGGCGGGAGGGGGCACAAGTCCGCGGCCAAGACCAGCACGCGGGCCCGGCCAGGCCTGCTCCGTGACCAGGTGACCTGGGCTTCCTGCGGGGGCCGTGGGCCGTGGGAGGACGGCCAGGTGTGGGAAAGCTGCCCCCGGGGCGCCTGGCCAGCCCCGGGCATCGACCGTCTGTGGGTAGGGACCTCCCAGGTGCCCGCTGGGCCCTGTGGCCTCGGCTGCAGGACGGACCGAGCAGAGCCCGAGACGCAGGAGCAGGCCCGCCGTCGGCCACCGCGTTTGGTCCAGCAGGGCGTCCGGCTCGGGCCCAGTCTGCCGGCTCCAGCGTGCGGGACGCTCAGGCAAGCGACGCGCCCCACGTGGACCCACGCAGTGAGGGGTGGTGGGCCGAGGCCGCGCGGGCGGGCGGGCGGCCAGTGGCTCAGCAGGCCCTGGGCGAGGGTGCGGCCAGCGGCCGACTCCGCGCAGCCCTCGCCCGTCACAGATTGAAACAGTCTGTTTAAATATCGTTTCTACAAAGTGAATTTACATTTAAAGTACAAAGTGCAAATACTATGTTTTTGTTTTTTGGGTTTTTTAATTGCGCTTTGGTGAGGGAGCCTCCCGTGTCCGGCCAGTCCCGGCGCTTAGCCGTGCTTCCTCGGCTGGAAAAGACAAGAGAGAGGCCGCGTTAGGGCAGGGCCCCCGCAGGCCTCACCCCGACTCGCCCGAGGCGCCCCGAGCCGGGAGGTCCGCGGAGGGGGGCCCTCGGCTCGGCCAGGAGCCTGCGGGTGCCGGCGTCTGCCTCCCGTGCGAGGACCGAGCGCGGAGGCGTCCCGGACACGCCGTGGCTTCAGCCTGTGACTCGGCGGCGGTTTCTGACAGTCCAGCTTCTGCGGCGGACTTGACGGCGCAGCCGCCCCATCCACCCCACCTGCTCCCCGGCCTCCGGGACGCGGCGCCGAGGGCCTGCGCGGCCGGGTCGGCGGGACCTGGCGCCTTCTCTGCTGGGCAGTGACTGAGGATGAAGGGTCTTCCCGCCTGAGTTGTCTGAGGCCACCGGCGCGGCCATCAGGGCCCCGGCTGCGCCCCGGCGGGTACAGCGGCCACAGCTGCGGCGCCGGAGGCTTCGGGCTGCGGTTCCTACCCCAGAGGGGGGCCGGCGGAGGGGCTGGCGGGCGAGAGGGGCGAGACGCCGCCTTGGGCCCGGAGGTGAGGAAACCGCGTCCGGCCCACGGTGAGGAGAAGGCCGGGCTGGCTCCCCGGGCGCCCCAGACCCGGGAGGGCAGGGGGCCTCACTCCGTCCAGGCTGCTCTGTCCTCGCTCCGGAGTCCGTGGTCCCCAGGACGGGGCGCCCGGCGGGCCTGCGCTGCAGCCACGGGGGATGGCGGCCCTGTGCCTCCTGCCCGCCTCAGCCAGGATGGGCTGCGGCTCCTCGGGCCCCCGGGCGGCAGGAGGGGCCCCGTGCGCGGAAAAGGCAAACCACCAGCGTTTGCTGAACAAGGAGAACGTCCCGCGTCCTCCCAGAGAGAGGGCCGCGCCCGTCGCAGGCGGCACTGCCCCAGGCCCGCGTGCTCCGGGCGGCCGCGTCTGTCCCGGGAGGACCCCGCAGCCCGCACCGGCCCGGCGGGTGTGGAGAGACTCGGCGGCGCGAGCTCGGTCGAGGCCTGGAGCAGCTGGCCCGGCTGGGAGGCTGCGGGGACAGGGGTCGAGGCCGGCCCCGCCAGATGCGCGGCCGAGGCGGCTGGGGAGGCCTTCACGCCGCCGCGCCCACAACCGAGGGCGCAGACACTCTCTCGCCAGTCAGACGACGGCCGGGCCTGCAGACGCACGGGGTCCCCCGCAAGGGCCCAACGGCCGAGAGGCCCACGAGGCCCGGCGCGGGCCAGGGCGTGGCCGCAGCTCTGCCCAGCGGGCTCTGGCCTTCTGGGGGCCGAGGGACGGCACCGGCCGAGCCGGATCCTCGGCCGCCTGGGAGTGGCTGCAGTTTGTTCGGCAGGACAGACGCACTCACCTGTCTGCTGGCCGCGCCGTCCGTGCTGCCTCGGGGGGCTGCGGTGGGGAGAGGGGTTAGAGCGAGCGCTGGCCGCTGGGGGGCGGGGCGGCCGGGGAGGGCAGGGCGGGGCTCACCCGGGTGCTTGCGGCTGCCCGCCCTGCCCTCCCTGGCGACGCCCAGGCAGCCGGTCAGCTCCGCCAGCGCGATGGCCTTGTCGCCGTCGGCGTCACAGTACTCCACGAACTTCTTCACGCACTTCTTGGGCTTTGATTTCTTCCGCAGGAACCTCTTGAAGGGCTTGATCTCCTTCTTGCCGATGTCGCCGCTGGAGTTCTTGTCCAGCAGCCTGAAATACCAGTGGACCACCCTCTCCTCCAGCGTGTGGCTGGGGTCGGGCTCGGAAAGCCTGCAAGGACACCGGCGTGAGGGCCCCGCGGGCCGCCGCCGAGCCGCGGCCATCACCGCTCTAGACACGGGCTTTCAAAGTAAGTTCTAGAAAGGGATCAGGAGAACGCGGCCAACCCGCTCCACGGCGCCCACGGCACGGCGGGGCTCTGTGTGCCGACCACGCGCCGGCCAAGCCCGTGAGGACAAAGCCCTGTCCAGAGCCTGTGCCGGGGGGGCAGGGCCTCCCAGCGACGCCCCTGGACGGGTCCCTGGGGCTGAAAAGATGCAACTTGAAGAAAGAAGGAACGACCCCCGGAAGACCTGGGCTCGGCAGCCCTTGGCAGTGTCCGCCCCTGCCAGGCAGCGTCCACTAGGAGGAGACTGGCCTGCCTGGACTTCCCGCCCCCTGCGCCCCCCGGCGGCTGCAGGACCCCAGGGGCAGCCCCGGCCCAGGACTCGGCTCCCTCGCGACCTCCAGGGGCCGCTGCCTCACAGCTCGGGGTGAGCGCGACCCCCGAGTGGAGCGCGGACTCTGGAAAGGCCCCTTTACCCGCCCACTTCCCTCTCCTCCCTGCGCGCCCCCGTCAGCCCCAGGGGCTCTAAGCCCCTGGCCCGGGAGAGGCGGCCTGGCCAGGGCCAGCGCTCAGGACGGGCCCCGCAGAGGCGTCCCTCAAAGTAAAGAGGCAGCAGCTGCTGGTTCTGGGGGCGGCCTCGAGAGCCCTCACGCCAGAGCGCGTCCGCCGGCCAGGACCCCAGGAGCCGCGTGGACACCGGGGCCCGCCCGGGCCGGCGGGTGTGAGGGCACGTTCTGCACGACCCACGCGCCTCTCGAAGCATTTCCTGGCTGAGTCCAGTCGGAGGCTTTAAAAAGCGATTCCAGAGCGCGAAGCGCTGCCCTCCTGCCCCCGCCGCCCTCCAGAGGTGCCCCGCAGACCCCGGCCGGCCCCGCGACCCCTCCCAGGGCTGGGGCCGCGTTGGCAGCGAAGCCGGCTACCAAGCCCGCGGCCGGCGCGGCAGCTCCCCGGTCCACGCTCCCGAGGCCGCAGTCCGTGTCAGCCGCGGTCTGGGCAGCCGGCGGCCCTGGAGGTCCCTGTCCGGCCCGCCGACCCCCGCTGTCCGGGAGGGGCCGCCCACCTGCCGGAGGCCGCGGGGTCGGAGACGGCGTGCACCATGTCCGTGGACAGCGCGTCCAGAACGCTCGTGAGAAACTCGTTCTTTTTGGCTCCAGGACAACCTGAAAAATAAAGTGCGTGTTTCCCAGGACTCGGGGTCACGGGTGCCCCGGGACAGGAAGGGGGTGCTCCCGTGGGGGGCCCCTGACCAGGGCAAGGGGCGTGAGTGGGGGGGACCGGGCGCAGGGGGCGGGGTCGGGGCGGGGGACAGGGCCCGGGCGGGGAGGTGGGGTGGGGGTGCGGGCCTGGGCGCGCCAGCGTGGGGGACTCGCGAGCGGGGCGCAGCGGGGCCAGGCAGCGAGCGGCAGCGCCAGGGGCCGGGATTCAGGAGCCGGACCCGCCACCGCGAGACCGGGGCGCTGTCACGGAAGCCCAACTGCCACCCCTAACCCTCGCCTGCGCTCCGGGCGCCCCGCCGCTGGCCCCTGTGCTGCCCGCCTGCCAGGGCCGGGAGGGGAGCACGCAGGGCGGCGGGAGCGCCGGGGTCTCCTGCGGCCTGTGCTCGCGGCCAAGCCCTTCCCCGGCCGGGCCTGCGCGGCTCCGGCTCCCCGGCCTGACTCTCGGTCTCCGCTGCCGCCCGGGGGTCCCGCTGGTGAACACCCGCAGGGGAGCAGCGGGAGCCGGCTGTGCTCCGACAGGAGCAGGTCGAGGGGCCGCAGCCCTCGCGGGCTTCTCAGGAAACAGGCGGTCTGGTCGCGCCGGGGCCGGCGGGGGTTTGGGCCGCAGGCGCCTGGGGGCTCTGCGGGGCTCTGGCCCAGGGGCGCCTTCTGTGCCGGGAGCCGCCCCGCCCCGGGCTCTCCACCGGACGGCCCCGGGCCGGCCTCCCCGCTGCCCCCCGAGGCCAGCCCCGCGTGAGCACGACCGGCAGACGGGGTGCCGAGGACAGGGGCCCGGGGCCGACCTCGCCGCCGCCCGCTCTCGCCCTCCCCCGGCTCTCGCGGCGACACTGAGATTTGGGGGTTTCCTTCCTTTGCAAACTGCGTTGAGTTTTATCGGGACAACAGTGGTTTACAGCACTGCACACAACTCGGGGTACAGGCGCGCCCCCCGCGGCTCGTGTGGGTGCACGGCACCGGCCCGAGTCAGCTGCCTGGTCTGCTCCGATGCGGCTCCCCCGCCCCTTTGTCCCCCGTCCCCAGCCCCCCGTCCCGTTCCCCACCCCCCGCCCCCCGCCCCCCGCCCCGTCCCCGTCCCACTGGCGTGTGCCACACGAGGGATGCCTGATTTTGTTTCGATTTCTCAAAATACCACAACTGGAAGCACCCACCGCCCGCAAGTCCACCCCCAGGCAGCCATTCAAAGGACGGGAAACGCTACCCAAAGGCCCCTGTGCCCCCAAGTCCCCTGCGGGAGACCAGGACCGGGGCGCGGGGGAGGCGGGACACCACGAGCCGCCACAGGAGGAGCCTTTGCCCCGGGGAGCACGGGGCGGGGGGCGGGTGCCGCGGAGCACCCCGGGCTGGAGGAAGCAGGCGCAGCTCGCGCCCAACTCTCCCAGGAGCCCCGCACAGCAGAGGGAGCAGAACCCGCACAGCCAGGCGCCGGGAAGGGGCTGCCCCGGGAGGCCGCGAGGCCAGTGCGGGTGAGGCTGGGGTTCCGCGCGGCCAGAGCCCGGCCCCGAGTCGCCCAAGTCCCTGCCACCATCAGACCTGGGGGATTTCGACCAGAGAGGAGTCAAGGAGGGGCCCCAGCCTAGGAGAACGGGCCCCCCACGGGCACCTGGACGCGGCAGCCCGGGTCAGCCATCCCCGGTGCAGGGCGAAGGCCAAGCTGGGCGCTCCAGAGCGTCCTCCCAGATGCAGTGGACACAGAAGCTGCTGGTCACAAACGCTTTCTGGGGCACCCACGGGGCAGCGTGGCCTTGGGGCTGAAGTCTGGCCCAGAGAGCCACCTCACTCCTCAGCTCTGGGGGTCCAGAAGCCGGGGCCCTTCCTAGGACAGGCAGGCTGCTGCGGCCACACAGGTCCCCAGCGCAGCCTGGCCCGCGGCCCGCACAGCGTCCAGTCCAGCCAGGCTGCGCTTCTGCAAAGCCACGGCGAGGGGCCGGCGTCTCCGCCGCCCAGGCCTGTCCCCCGCGGTGTCCGAGGGCAAATGCAAATCCCTGCAGCCCGCGTGGGCACAGGAGCTCCCCCGAAGGGTGGGTGCGGCCCTGCCGTGCAGTGTGGGAGCCGGAGCCCCGGGAGATGACCGCCAGCTTGGCACCAGGACGGGGGGGACAAGCCCAGGACAGCCTCCTGCTGCCGGCCCGCACTGCCCACATCCAGGCCTGGGAGCGGAGCCTGGAAAACCTCCCCGACACCCTCAGCCCCAGCCAGCCCCCGAGAAACCCAGCGCCCTGCGCCTGGACACCACCCTCCCCGCTCCCCTTTCAGCTCAGCTGACCTGCGGTGCCCCCGCCCCCCACCCAGGGCCACCCCTCGCCCACCGTCCACCAGAAAGTCAGGCCCCCAAGGCCGCACTGCCGGCTCGGGCCCGGCGCTAGGTTCGTCGCGGCCTGTGCCCGGGAGGGCGGTCGCAGGCACAGGACCAGCCAGACGCGGGGCCCGCGGTCACGGCCTCTGCATGGGGCTGTCTCGGGGGCCGAGGGCTCACAGCAGCCCTGGAGGCGGTGGCGGCCTGTGCCCCCCCGTGGCCCTGCTCATCGCCTCCCGGCAGAGGCCCCCGGCACCTCTGGGTCTGAGCCTGGTGTGGACCTAAACCCGAGGCCGCAGGCGAGCTGGCCGGGGCCTGCACACAGGAGCTGGGGGGCGGGGGGGTTGGGGGGTTGGGGGGCCGGCCCTGCCCATCGCGGACATACATGCAAAGAGAACTCATGGAGAGGCTCCGGGCGACATCCCCCGGGCGGACCCCAAAGCCCAACGCCCCCCCCAGGGGCTGGGAGGACACAGGCCTGGGCCTGATGGGGCCCCCGTCATGCTGAACGCGGCCGCCTCGGCCGGCTCGGGCTGGGCTTGGGTTCGGGTTCAGCCGGGAGGTCTGCGGCCGTGCGCGCCTGTGAGGAGCCGGGGCGGCGCTGGCCCTGGGCGTGAGCCAGGAGACAGGCGGGCAGGCGTCTGCTCCGCTTCCGGCGGGCGGCCTACGTGGTGAGTCAGGTGGCCGCGCCCTGGGCCCCAGGATAGCTGAGCCCTCACCTCAGGGCACCCCCATCCCCACTCAGCCACGGAGAACCCACGGAGAAAATGAGGCCCAACGTGGCAGAAAGTGAAGCATCGGCCAAGGGCAGAGGCCGTGGGCCGCAGCCAGGCCAAGTGGACGGCCTTGGCTGGGGACGCTGGCGTGGGGATGGGGACACGGGCCGGGGCTCGGGAGAGGGCTTGGCGCCCAGGGCCTTGAAGGCCGCTCCCACCCGCAGGGCGGGGTCCGGGCCGACCGAAGCCGGGACCCCCCAGGGAGCCGACGAGGAGAGGCTCCAAGTCCTCCGAGCCGCAAGCCCAGCGCTCGCCGGCCAGGGGCCGCACAGTCGCCGGCTGGAGCCCGGAGACCCCGCTGCAACCGGAAGCGGAGCTTTGCCAGAAGAAGGTGATCCTCTGCGGCGTCAAGAGCCTGCAGGCCGCTCACTGCTGCGCTTTGGGAAACAGATTTCTCCCCGCAGCCAAGGGCGACCTCTGTTCTGCGGCTATTTTAAGACCTGCTTGTTTTTCCCTTATAAGGAGAATTATCTCCCCAAATCAAGATGATTAAGAGCCGTACCAGAACACGCGCCTGTAACCGCGGAGCCTGCCGCTGCCAGAGAGGAGTCTGGGGCTGGGGCTCCGTGGGGGGCAGCGAGGAGGGGCCTGGGTGAGGGCGGCCGCCTGTGCCGGGGCCACCTGCGCCGGGGCCGTCCCTCGGGGGGCCGCCTCTGCGGGGCCAGACCTCACCCCCACAGGCTCTGAGCCGCGGCCTGCGAGCGGGCACCCGCTGGGAGCTGCGGGCCCTGCTCCCGGTCACTTGCACTACAGGGCCGCGCGGCGTCCCCCGCTGCCGGAGGTGCCGTGCGCAGGGGAGGGGCCCCTTCCCCAGCAGCCCGGCTGTGCCCAGCGGCGCCCACGTGGGCCCGCAGGTGCAGAGGTGCTGATCCTCAATCATCGCTGCTCCAGCGTGGATGGAGCTGGGCCCCAGCCCAAGCGCTTCCCCGCGCACCCCAGGAGGCCTCGCCCACCCTGAGGAGCGGAGCCTGCGGCCGGCACGTCAACTGCAGGGCCGAGCTGCTGCGGAGGACGCGGGGCTGGGCGGCGGGACAGACGGAGCAGACGGGGCACGGGGACAGGTGGAGACGGGCGGGACGGGCGTGGGTGGGGGCGGGAATGGCCGAGCTCGGCCACGTGGCAGAGCGCCCTTCCCACGGTGCCAGGAAGAGCCTTTCGCCTCAGAGGCAAGAGTTGGGGGGGAGGGTGCGGGGAGCCCCCCCAGGCCCGGGGCAGGCAGCGTGGCAGAGACACCAGCCCCAAGGCCCCCCGCCCCGCTCCCTGCCCCTCCTGCGCCGTCTCTCTGTCCCTCACACCACGTGGACACAGACGCCGCCGCCCGTGGACCCCTAACCACAGGGACACCTGCAGAGAACGGCCACACGACAGGCGCTGCCAGGGCCCAGGGCCGCGGAGGAGACACCGCGTGGCCACAGAGCTGCGGGGCGCGGGTGGGGCCACGCCCTCGCGGCAGGACAGGGCCGGGGCCTCTGCCCCTGGGGCTTCTGCTGACCAGGTCGGGTCAGGGATGGCCGGGGACACCCCACGGCCTGCCCCCCAGTTCACAAACGTTTACGCCTTCACGTTGCAGAACCACGGTCCTCTCCGCAGTAACACGCGAGTAACACGGAGACCGGAGGCTGCCCTCAGCGGGAATCCCCGGGTCCCGTGGGAGGCCCAGGACCAAGGCTCTCCGGGAAGGACTGGACAGCGCGTCCCGGGGCCCTGGACTAACGGTGCCCAACCGGGAGACGCCTCCCCAAAAGGACACTCGCAGGGAGCCCAGGAACACGGCGCGCTGGGGCCTGGGGCCGAGCCGAGCCTGCTTGCTCCTGGGTCTCAGGAGGCCCCAGCCTGGGCCACCTCGGCCCCGCCCCGCCCCACCCGGGGTCCCCCCAGGCCCTCCCCACCCTGCCCACATCCTGCCCCCGCCCTGCCCCCGCCCCGCCCCCTCCCACGCCCCAGGCCCTCCCCGCCCTGCCTGGACCCTGCCCACGCCCCACCCGTGCCCCGCCCCGGGGGGCCTTACAGGTCCAGAGCCCGCAGAGGCCACGTCCACCTGGGGGTCAGCGCGTGGGCCCGGACGCAGGCCGTGCCGCAGAGCCCCCGCGGTCTCTGGTCACCGGCCGGGCCCGCCGCTCTGGGCAGCACGCGGGCCTTTCCAGGGAGCCCGCGGGGTGGGGGCCGCACGGAGTGAGTCTGGGCTGCCGACACGGGGCCGTGCGCCCTGGCCGTCCTGGCCTGCACAGCCCGGGCCTCAGCCCGCTCGGGGCCCGCCTGCGGGGAGGGCGCCCTGCGGGTGCAGGGGGGCGCTCACCTTGCAGCTGGCGGCCCTTGTACAGGTCCCGGGGCTTGCTGGGGTGGGCCCTGGCCGTGTGGTCGCACTTGGGCTGCTCGTACCTGCGGGCGGACAGAGCGGTCAGGGCGGGCGGCGCGGCCCGAGGCCCCGCAGTGTCTGGGACAGGCCCTGGCCCCCGGCCGGGAGGAGGGGCGCGGGACCCCTCCCCGCCAGGGAGGACCAGCCTCTCAGAGCCACGCCCAGGCTCTCCCCAAGGCGGGCTCTCGTGGCCACAGGAAGCCACAGCCTTTCTCATGGCGACCCCACCACGGTCCTGTGGGGACGGTCCCGCAGGCCCCTGGGGCAGGCCCGGACTCTCGGGTCCAGGACGCGCGCTGCGGGCTCCGGCCCAGGCCCACGAGCAGCCGCGGCCGCGGACGCCTGCTGGACCCGCCCAGGCACCGCCTCTGAGCCCGGTGGGCACTGGCGCCCAGGACGCCGCGGGTTGGTCGGGGCATCCCGCGGCCTCAGACACCAGAGCCGCCGCCCGCACCTCCCTCAGCCCCGCTGGGGACTGTGCAGGACAAAGGGGGGGCAGTTGGGGCCCGGGGGCTGGGGCGGGACACAGCTGGGGGCGGGCGGGGGCGGCGGCAGCCTGGCTGGAGGGCCACGAGGCCCGGCCCCTCCTCGCCCGGTTTTCCCTCCCACTCTGGAAGAGAGAGGGTCTTCCTCGGGGAGACTCGCCCCGTCACCCACTGCTGACTGGTCTCCCCACCATCAAACACGGGCACACTCTCCCCACAGGAGCGCTCCTCTGGGCCCAGGGGGCGTCTGAGGGAGGGCGGGGCTGCGCGGGGCCCCCACTGTCCCTCACAGGCCGGCGGCTCTGCCTGGACAGCAGGCGCGGAGGGGGTGAGGCCGGCACCCCACACGCCCTCCTCTCCCAGCGGGTGCGCCGGCGGGGGGCCCGGGGGCTCCGTGGACCCCGCACTGGCCCAGCCCGGGCGGGAAGCAGGACGGGGCCGCGGCGGCCTCCAGGGCTCCGGCCAACGCCCGCCCGGGTGGGGACAGGGACTGGCGCCCCCTCAGCCAAGGGCCCACGGGGCGGCTGCTGGGCCAGAGGAGCACTGTGGAGCCCGGACGAGGGGCCGGGGCTCTGCGGGGCGCGTGGCCACGGCGCCTGGCCAGGACAAGGACAGCAGCGAGGACACCAGCGGGGGGACCGGGTCCTCAGAGGGGGCGCCCAGCCGCGGCCCCACTGCCAGGACAGTGGCCGCCCCGGGGGAGGACGCGCGGCCCCAGCCCCGGTGGGCCACGCCCGGGTCCAGCAGCCAGACCTAGGGACCCCTCCAGGACACCTCCCGCCTCTCCCAACATCCTCCGGACGTGGCCAAGTCAGCACCTCCGTCCCCCCGGCCCCGACTCCCTCCCCGGCTCTGCCTCCCGACCCCGAGGCCACCGCGCCACCCGCTTGCCCCTCTGCTCACGGCCCCAGACCCCGCGGCGCCTGCGGAGCCTCAGCCCAGAATCCCAGACGCGCGAGGCGGCCGCACCACGTCCATGCGCCGCCCACAGCAGCTGGACGCTGGGCGTGTCCGCCCTGAAGGGAGGCTCTCGGCTCCCCTTTGCCCTCCCTGACCCCGCGTGTTGCCCCACTCCACGTGCTCACACTCCCTCCAGGGCGCCCTCCACCAGCCGCCGCGGCCCCGCCCCCACCCCTCGCCCGCACCCCACACTGCCCCGCGCCTCTTCCCCCACAGCCTGCGTGGCCCCGGGGTGCCTGCTCCTCCCAGCACAGCCCCGGGGCGGCTCGGCCCGCAGGTGCCTCTCAGAGGCCTGCTGGGGACACCCCAGCCAGCCAGGGTAGGGGTCCAGGCCCGCCCAGGCCTCCAGGGACCAGCGCCCCAGGCATCCCCAGGCCGGGCCCAGACGTGGCCTGGATGCCGCCTGCACCTCGGGCCGGGCCAGCGCGGCCTCCTCTAGATCCCGCAGGCCGCACCGGCCCCTCCAGGGAGCTGACCCAGGGGTCAGGAAGGGCCGGCCCAGGAAAGGCGGAGGCAGCGGGCAGGCTCCCACACGCAGGCGGCTTGGTGTGAACTGGCGCAAGAAGGAATTGCCACCCGGTGTGGTCACCCACCCCTAGACCCAGGGGCAGGGCAGGACATGACCGCCAAGCTGGCCAAATGGGGCCAGTGAGGGCTCCCTGGGCCTGAGGCCCAGAGCAGCGTCTTTCATTAAGGGGGAGCTGTGTCCCGGCCACTTGCGGGCTCAGGGGCGACGCTGCCCAAGGCCTTGGGCCCAGCCCCTCACCAGCCCTCACTGCCCCCACCCGTCACTGCCCCCTGGTGGCCGTTACAGGGACAGTGTCCATGGCACTCACCTCTGGGGCACGGCCGGGAGCGGGGTGGCCTTGTGCTCACGGGACCGGGGGGCTGGTGGGCCCGCCTGCGCTGCCCGGCCTCTGGCCCACAAGGACGCGCTCACCTGGTGGAGGTGCCGGGGATGGGGCGTCCGGTGTCCACCAGGACGCACCAGCAGTAGCCGGTGGACGGGTGGCACTGCACCGGCTTGTAGAGGCCACCGTGGGCGCACTCGGGGATCACCACGTCGTCGCTCCGGGGCTGCCGGGCCTCCTCCAGGGCGGACTGCTGCTCCTGGTCACACGAGGACGCTGGGGGAAGGCAGCGGATGAGCTGCGGCCAGCCAGCGCCACCGTCGGGGGCAGGCCGCGGGCCCTGTTGGGTCAGAGCCCCGGGCGACACCCGCACAGGCTCCCGATGGCCCCCAGGGACAGGCGGGGACGGCCACGTGCCCTCCCAAGCCAGCCATGTGGCCGGGGCAGCACACGGTCCATCCTGGTGAGCCCTGCCCCCCCCCACCCGGCATCTCTCCTGGACCTCACCCGCCGGGGCCGCCCCTGGGTGGGCCCGCAGGTCCCCTTCTGCAGGGGCGCAGCCCAGTGGTCGACATGGAGACTGACCCTGGCCCGGGGAGGACACATGGAGGAGCCGCATGTCGGCCGCCTCGCCCTGAGCGCCGCCGTGCACCCCTAACAGCGGCTCCTGACGTCAAGGCGTGCGCATTCGTGGCCAGCTCAGCTGCTTCTTGGGGTTACACAGAATCTCTGCGTGCCCCTCTGGGGACGCCCCAGACGGCCGAGTGTTCAGACGGCGGGTGTGTGCGCATGCATGTGGGCATGGGCGCGACCCCAAGGGGCGGCGGGCCCTCAAGCTGACGACGCCGGGACAGCCCTTGAGGACAAAGCAGCACGCCTGCTACGAGGCCCCAGGCCTGAGGAAGCCGCCTCGGAGGACACACTCGGCCTGGGCGCCGAGGATGGAGGGCCGGGGAGCAGCCCCCCAGGAGACAATGGCCCCGGCCTCGGCAAGTCAACGCAAGGAGCCATGTGCGCTTCCAGCCAAACCCCCGGCCCCAGCGTGTCCCACCCACGGCCCCCTGTCCACCACCGGGAGCGTGGCCCAGGCTGGCCATTCCACTCAGGAAGGCAGAGTGACAGAAACTGGCTTTGCAGCAAGAGGGCTCCCCCAGGACCCCCTCCCTGCTCCCGAGCGAGACACCTGGGCTGCCTCCACCTGGGTCAGCTCCACCCATACCTGTCCACCTCCACCCGCCCACCGCCGCCTACCACCACCTGTGCAACCTCTGCTGGTGCCGGTGCCACCTCCACCCGTCCACCTCCACCCACCGCCACCCGTGCCAACTCCTGTGCCCGACACAGAGAGCAGAGAAGTGCCCTTCTGTGAGTGAGAGCAGCTCTCGAAGGCCCTGCCTCAGGCCCGCACGCACACACACAGGCCCCACACACTCACGTGCAACGCACTCTGCGGGGACCCCGCACGGTCGAGCTGTGGCTCGCGACTTGTGGTCCCGGCAGAAGGACGCTGCAGAGACGCTGTGAGCTCCAGTGAACAGGAAGGGGAGGGCAGACGTGCCTCGCGAGAAGCTGACGCAGAACCTCAATGCAGAACCCCCAAATCCAGGCCAGACTGAATAGGCCTGTGCTGTGCACCCCCAGAATTCAAGTGTGAGCCCAACTGTGAACTGTGTTCAGCGAAAGGGCTTTAGGGCGACTGTGGCTGCAGGGCCAGGGCGGGGCCCTGAGGGAGGCCGGAGCCGGGGAGGAGGCTGCAGCCGCCTGTGCGCCCAGAGGGCCCTGGAGGCCGAGGGCTGAGTGTCCAGAGGGGGTTTCTGAAAAAGACCGCAGCCCGGAGCCCCAGCCGCGAGCACTGCCTGGGGACACCCCCATGGCAACGCGCACCCCGAAACAAGGCCGATTTCAGTAAACGCGTGATTTGCGCTTTTCTTTCACAGCATTTCCTCCTTCGAGAAGTGACTGCACCGACTCAACAGCTGGGCACGGGCCTGGGGCTCGCCTGGCGGGCCTGGCAGGCGCAGGGGAGGGGAGGGCCGGGCGCTGCCCGCACAGCCGGCCGCTGCGCCTCTGACGCCCGGGCAGGGCCGAGTGCCAGAGCCGGCCCGCGGGGCCACAGCCTCCTCCCGGGGGGTGGACGCTGCTGAGGACCGAGCAGGGGCAGCGGGGAGCGGGCAGTGGGCGCTGGACGTGTGCCCAGGGTGGGATGGGGCCGGCGGGCGCGCCCGGCCTTGGCTCTCTCGCAGGGCCCTCCAGAAACTCGGTGTTTCAATTCACACAAGTGTATAATTACAAGAAAAATTAAAATGTGCCCCAGACCTTGCTGATAATGGTTACCACATGCTCGCGGCCGCGCTCAGATGTGAACATAAACAAAATCAGAGCCGCGGCTGCAAACGCAGCTCCAGGTCCCTCCAGAGCTCCCGGCGCGGAGGAGGGGCGGCGGCGGGCGCGGCCGAGCGGCCCGGGCAGAGCAGGCCAGAGCGGCTGCCTGCGTGCGGCACGTCCGGCTGCGGGCACGGGGCCCTCGAGTCCACCCGGGGGGCCACAGCCGACGGGGACACGGCTGTGGGCGGGGTCACAGGCCCGAGGTGGGGCGTGGGCGGGTGTGTGGGGAGAGGGGTGGGGTGGCTGCAGCGTCCTCGGGGCAGAGGCCGGGCCGGGACGTGCTCCAGACCCGCCACGCAGGGCGTCAGGCGCTGGGTCCTGCGGCGTCAGCTGTCAGGCGGCCTCCCCCCCCGTCCAGCATCTCCAAAGCCGCGTGCACGCCCCGGCCCCTCAGGGACAGTCCTCCCTGTACCTGCAGGGCCCAGTCCACTCAGGGCAGACGCCGGGAGACGCGGGCACGGGCCTGGCGGGCAGCTCCTGGTGGCCAGCGAGGGGCTGAAGCTCAGAGGGGATGGCCCAGGGACTCCGGCGGGGCCGTGTCAGCCCCGGGGAGGGAGGGCAGTGCAGCGACAGGTCCTGGGCCTCAGCCCTCCGGGTGGGGACACCCCTGTTCCCCAGCAGTGCCCCGAAGTTGCCCAGCAGTGCCCCAGCAGTGCCCCAGCAGTGCCCCAGCATTGCCTCGAGATTCAGCTCTCTTGGGCCACCCCCGACCCAGGTTAAGGGGTGTTGCTCTGTTCTCGGGCTCCAGAGGCCCCTTCACCACTTCTCACTGCTGCGGCCACCACGTCCCTCTGGTCACCCACGCTGTGTCAGGCCAGCCGGGCGCCAGCCCCCCCAGTCCCAGAGAGGCGCCTCATCCAGCCCCGGCCTGCGGCGGGCACCAGCCTCGGCCGCTGGACTCAGCCCCGGGCCGAGCCCTGCTCAGCGACTCCGCAAAGGTCACTCGAGAGTGACCGGATCCGCCGAGGCCTGAGGACACCTGGCGCGGGCCCGTGGGCCCCAGTCCTCGGCCACCGACCTTCTCGCTTCCGTTGCTGCTGCCTGGCCTCGCCCTGAAGTGCCGCCCCCGGTCACCCCACCAGTGTGAACACTGAGCCCAAGAACGGGGTGTTTGAAATGAAAACCCTCCTTTCCAGTTCAGCGAGGCGGCGTGATTTCGGCAGCTGATTGATATTTAGACGACAAACCTTCACGGCCTGTTTCCAAGCGGCCATTTGACTGACTTTACTATTTTGATCTCTCCAAGTGCCCCAACCTTGAGCGCTGAGGGAGCCACTTGCCACCTTGATGCTTGTGCAATCGCATGTACGCTTGAAAGAAGGGATAAAAGGGAAATAATATTTTCAAACTTGGAAATGAAGAAGGGAAATATAATTGGTCTTATTTTTCCCCGGGGAAGGCAATTTACTGTGATTTAAAGCAGAATCAAAAGATAATTATCTTTTGGCACAAATTTTAATGTGTGCAATAAAACAAAAACTATTGACCCTGGGTAAAGCAGAAAAATGTTTCCACTGAGGGCCCATAAAAGTGGGGGCGGGGCGCGGAGCCTGGGCAGAGCCCTGGGCGGCGCAGAAGGGGTGGGAGGCGTCTCCCCGGGAGGGCGCACAGGCTGCGGGTGGGCGCAGGGCGGGCGCGTGTCCCAGGCGGACGCAGGCGCCAGCTCTCCGGGCCCCACACTGTCCCGGGCCCCACAGGGGGCTGGAAGCGTGGCCGCTCCAGGGAGAGGGGACCCACAGCCCCGCCAACTCCGGGTCTGGACAGCTGCGCGGCCAGGCCGGCACCGCCCACGCAGAGCGCACTTCCCCGCGCCCGGGAAGCCAGCGGGCGCCAGTCCCGCCTGGTCCCCACGCCCTAGCCAGGGCTGCCCGCCTTGTCCAGGGCACCGTGGCCTTGGGAGGGGCGCAGTGAGGGCGGTGGGGAGGGGCGACCCGTCTATCCCAGACCCACAGGTGTCCCACCCCCCCACTGCCAGCCATGCAGGGCGGCCCAGGGGGCACCCCAGCTTTCTCCATCCAGACCCCGGGTTGCCAGCGCCCCAGTGTCCTGCATGGGGCGGGGGTCAGTGTACCCAGGGGGCACTGCCAAGACCCAGCCCACCACACAGGAGGCTGCCGGGAGCCTGGCTCCCCAGGGCTCCACAGCTCCTCGGAGAAGCCCTGGAGGCGACCCTGAGCCCGAGGGCCTGCCGTCTCTGCCCTTGGCGCCCCTGGACTTCAAATCTCAGGCCTGGCCTGGAGAGCCTGGCCCTTTCCCCTCAAACATTGTGAGAGTCCCCAGTGTAGGTCGACCCCACAAACGTCAAAAGCTAACGACTCTTCTCTGGTGTGAAATGTCATTTTGGGGGTCCAGGCCCAGGGGCTCCAGCTACAACAGCACCCACAGCGGGACCCCAGCACCCACCGAAGGAGGTGGAGCCACACCGGGGCGGCGGGGCTGCGGGCAGGACAGGGCCGGGCGGCGCTGGTAAAAGGTTATACGGCGACAGCCTGGTCCTCACCAGAGACGCTGACGGCTAAAAACCCTCGGGACAAACCCGGCCCCTGGCAGGTCAGGGCCCCACGCCCACGGGAGCTTCCTGGCCAGCCTCCTACCAGGCGGCCCCACGCCAGACCAGGCGCACCCGCCCCGCTGGGATCCTCAGTTCCTGTGGAAGCTGTTCTGTGCTGTTTCATGTTGTTTAAAATACTTTGCCCTGCAGAGAGTGTCTGTTCTCTGCAGGCTCCAGAGGCCACGCGGGAGTTTGCTGCCCTGAGCAGAGCCCGGTTCCCGGATAGCGGCGACTTGTCCAGCCAACCCTGACCTGTGCCCTCTTCCTCAGCATCTGCTGCTTTAAAGGGAAGAGGCAGGAGTCTGGGGATGCCAGGGGTGCCGCAGAGAGCGCACCGCTCGATTTGTGCTTAATAGATGTGCGTGTGGCCTTTCGGAGCTGGAAACAGCCCCGCCAAGCCCCATGGGTGAGGGGTCCAGGGGTACCCATCTCCTCGCCTGCTGAGCGCAAGTCAAACTGGACATACCGGGTGTCAGGAAGGTAAAGACCATCAGCCTCATGTTGATGGGGGCTGGGGGCACACTCTTAGGGAAAGCACTTTTCAGCCTCGCACACTGACATGGTCTGCTGGGGTCTGCACGAGGGAGGGCACCGTCCTGGCAGAGGGAGGCACACGGGAGGCCACTGTCCTGGCCAAGGAGGCAGGAGGAGGAGTGCAGGGTAAATGGTTTTCAGGCTTTTCTGCCCTCCTGCCATTGGGGTTGCCCTGCCTGATGGGGTGCTCGCGTTTGTTATATTGTTATAAGTTACCTGTTTACTTGTGTGGGCCACGGCGGCAGTATTGAGGTATTTGCCAAGGGAAGCAGAGGCAGCAGAGAACCCAGGAGAGAGAAACTCAGGGCGAAGATTTGCCAGGTGCTTGGAGGCCCGCTGGCATCCCTGGCACCCCTGCCCTGGCACCCCTGCCTGCTGTGTGTCTGGTTGCAGCTCTACATGTAAAAGCTCAACAAAGCCTGAAAAGCCACCGAGGGCTCTAGGTCTGCCTGAATCATAAAGAAACCTGCTCTGTGGCCACCCTGACTACGCCTACAATTGGCGTAGTGGGCAGGATGATTCAAAGCAGACGGGTATGGAGCCCTCTGAAGACCTCAGGAGGGACTGAGGAGTAGCAGACGGTGAGCCTGTGACAACGCTGGATGTGCCATGGCAGCACGGGAGGTGACCAGAGTCCAGGAGCTGCTGGAAGAGCTAGAGACGCTGCAGGAGCACAGGAGGTGGACAAGGTTCGGGAGCTGTGGGATGAGACCTCGCGTGGAGGAGGAGACGGCCCACGAGGATCAGCCCACGACCCCTGAGGCAGCAAAATCATTGGGGGAGAAGGACCATGACTCGGAGCTCGCCAAGTGCTGATGCGAGGAACAATGGACGGACTTGGACTGACAATCCCTCCAGAAGGCGGAGGAACTTTGGCAGGGTAATGGTGTTTTGGGGACCCTGAGGGTGGATGGTATTGTTTGTGCATCCCAGGAGATGGGAATCTGGGGGTGGCCAGTGGGCCTTGATGGTCAAAAGCAGCCTGTGCACTGCCCAGCAGCCAGGCAGAGGAAAAAAGCCAACTTAGAAAGGCAAAAGCTGGTGCTGAGATTGGAAAGCCCTGAGCGGCTGTTAAGCAGCCCAAGTAAGCTGAGGAAGGCCAGTGAGTCTCTTAAAATCACCTGTGGGGGACGCCCTGCTCATTGCTGAGTGAGGGTGAGGAGCTGAGGAACCCGTCCTTGGGGGACGGTGGGGAACGTGGCTGGTGGTGGAGCCCACAGCCGAAGAGGGGACCCAAGAGAGGCCACATGTGGAGCTTGTATCCACGGGTCCCCGACCCAGGTGCTTGTGCCGTGGGTTGGCCTGAGTGCAGGGGTCTGCGTGTCGCGTTGGCGGCTGTGAAAGCCAAGTGTTGGAGCGACCGCAGACAGAACCTGAGGATCGGGCGATTACCCTCAGAGTACAGAATCGCCAGTCCAAGAGTGAGCGCCTCCTGGGCGTGGATGTGGTGTGGCTTGTGACCGAGACCACAGCCGGAGAAGGCCGGGAAGCCTGACAGCCCCTGGTGTGGGACGGCAGATGCCCAAGTGCCCCCCTCCCATGAGCAGTGCCTTGGGCAGCAGGAGTGGTGGATCATCTGCTGGTGCCAGTAACCCTGTCCTCTGCCACTAGGTTGGTGTCCTGCCTGGACTTATTTGTGTTCTGTTGTATTGCTTATTTTTCTTTTGTGGGCCAGGGCTGCAGTGTTTACGTTTGCTAAGGGAAGACCCTATATAACCTACACGGAGCCTGTATGGCAGAAAACCCCGAGGGGGTGGATTGTAGGGCAGATGGTTTTCAGGCTTTTCTGCCCTCCCACCATTAGGATCGCCCTGCCTGATGGGCACCTGCGGTTGTTACGTTGTTGTAAGCTGTGCGGTTTACTTCGTGGGCCGTGGGCGCAGTATTGAGATGTCCAGTATTGAGACGTCCGCCAGGAGCAGCAGAGGCAGGAGGCAGGCAGGGGAGAGGAGGGAGAAAGAAGCCGGAGAAGCCCAGAGTGAAGACCTGCTGCGGGCTTGGGGGCCTGCCGGGGTCCCGGCCCCCCCACCCCTGCCTGGTTGCTGCGCTACATGTAACAGCTCAATAAAAGCCTGAAAAGCCACCAAGGGCTCCAGGACTCTCCTTCATCCCGTCTGCCCGGATCATAGGAAGCCTGCTCAGGGGCCTTCCCGGCACTACAAGGAGCATCCGCCTTTGTCCAAGCCTCATCCAGCCCATCCAGTGCAGGCCGCTGTCCCACGCGGGCCTGCCCCTCAGGGGCCACGCGTTTCTGTCCTTCCCTGGGGTTTGTTTTGGAACAAAGAAGCCACGACGCCTGGCACCGCAGGGCAGGGGCGGGAGGGTCCTGTGGGATGTGCTGCCCTCCCACCCACGCCCCGCGACGCCCCACCACGCCCCGCGACGCCCCGCCTGTGGCCGCCCCCGGCCCCCTCTGTCCCTCTGGGGAAGCCCTCTGTCCTCCGCCAGGAGCACCCTCCGGCAGAGCTGCCCACAGACGCGCAGGGGCGCCCACGTGCGCAGCGCATCCTGGCCGGTGTGTTTGGTGACAAAACTAACACTGGACTTTGACACACAGCCCTCGGTGGGAGCAAGGGAGCCTCTGCCAGGCCAGCGGCCACAAACAGGCAGTCCGGGAGCCGGGCCAGCAAGCTGCCCGCTTCTGCCCACGTGCCGGGCAAGTGTAAGGAAGCCTCCTTTACAGGTATCAATTAGACGCGGCTCCCTGACCTGGAAGCCTTGCTGACCGCGGTGGGCACGCAGTGGGCGCGGGAAGGCGTCTGCTCAGACCGGGCGCCCTTGGGAGAGGCTCTGTCTGCCCACAGCGGCTGCCTGACCCGGCTGAGTGACCCGGTCACTCACGCGGCCCTGCCGGCCAGGGGGTCCTCCAGCTGCGCTCCCATAGGCTGATTCAGACCGGCCACGGAGCAGGGCAGCGGCAAGACGCAGCCCCGGGTGGCCAGGCTGCACGGGGAGCTGGGCTGCTGTACCAGTCAGTTCCAGCTACGGATCCCCGCAGGCCGACAACCTGGTGCCAGCGAGGGGCGGCCAGAAGGCCCTGCTGGGGCTGGTGAGGGCCGAGCTGCTGTCCTGCTAAGCACTGGAGTCGCCTGCACAAAGCGGCAGCTCTGGGCAGTGCTCGCTGACCGCACGTTGTTCTGAGCTGGATTCAGGCCTCCCGTCCTCCCAGGCGGTCGGGCCTCGGGACTTTCCCTGCCGCATCTCGGCCCACCGGCCACAGCAGGAGCGCTGGGAGAGGCTGGCCGGTGCGGGGGTGTCACGGGGTGCTGGCCTGCGCGCCGTCCCCTGGGCCTAGAGGGCAGTGCCAGTGGCCACCCCCACCCTGTGGGCTCTGTCTTGGGGCCTGGACATTTAGGGCATGTCCAGAATGGGGGTACGGCGACTCGGCCACTCCCAGCGGCCGGCACACGCTGAGCCCTGTGGTTTTGTTCCACGGATGCTAAAAATGCACTTCGAAGGACGCCGCGGACCTGCTGTGACAGGCCACAGAACTGGCCAGGCGGCCGGCGGGGTCACCCCGTCCCCAGCCTGTGCTCCCCAGAGCTGCTTCCAGCCTGGAAGACGCCCTCTTCCGGGGAGGCCTGGGTGTGCTGGGAAAGGCAGACGGCGCCAAGCCTCCACCAGCGAGACCGCAGGCCCCGCGGGCACCCAGCCGCGAGCCCCGGCGGCACGGCCACCCCGGCCCAGCACAGCGCTCGGCAGTCACTCTGAAGGTGGACACGCCAGCCCCCAGGAGTGGGCGCGGCTCCCAGGCAGGCCACCAGGCCAGGGGGCGACCGCACCCCACCCTGTGTGGCCGCGGGGAGGCGGGGAGGGTACTTGGGAGGAGGGCTGTGGGGGGCCCAGGGGGGCCCTGGAAGCCCCGGGCCCGCTCACCTGAGTTCTTGCTGGTTTTGTTCTGCCGGCTTCTGACCTGCTCCGTCCAGAGCGTGGGGTAGCGGGAGGCGATATCTGCGGGGAGGGCAGCGGTCAGCACCCCGGAGCCTGGGGTGGAGCCGCGCCCGGAGGCTCGCAGGTGGGGGTGACTCAGGAAATAGTGACCCAGAGACGCTCTAGAATGTTTTTTTCTTTCCTTCCTCATTCACAGCCAACGGTGGGAGCTGCCAGCACCCGCGCCCCACGCGCCCTGGCGGGTGTTGGGGGTTCTCCCAGCGGGAAGGGCCTGTCCCTCGAGGAGTGACCCTTTGTGAGGCTCGGTTTTGCCTGAAACAGCTTAAAGACGTGTCTGTGCTACGGCCCAAGGGCGGAAACCGGGTGGCTGGGGTCCCCGCGGCAGCGGGGCCGAGGTCGCGTGTGGCCGGGTCGGGGCTGCTTGGGGCCCAGGGCCTGAGGGCCACGGCGGCAGGACGGAGGGGGGCGCCACGGGGAGGAGTCTGGGGGTCCGGGGGCTGCAGTGGGTGGGGCTGGGGGCCGCCCGGCGGGGCGCACACCCACGGCCTGTCACTCCCACCCACCTGCGAGGCGCTTCCCTTCCCCGGGCGGCCGCCCCAGCCGGGATCCTGGCAAACGTCCACACCGCCGGCTCCAAGGCCGAGGGAGGGGCCGGCCTGCGTGGCTCCCAGATGGGCTGCCCTCACCAGCGCCAGCAGCAGGGTCGGGCCGCCGTGCCGGCTCCATGCAGTTCCACCTCACCGGGCTGCGCAGCCGCAGCCGCGGCCCAGGCCCACCCCGCGCCCCGGGCCCGCCCCGCTCACCTTCCTCGTCTCCTTGGGGCTGGGTCTCCAGTGCTGGGGCTGAGGCATCATCTGAATTCAGAAGGGAAAAGGTTTGCAAGGAGACTACAACCGGGAGAGTGAGTGTCGGGTGGGGGCGCAGGACCCCACAGACCCCTGCATCCTCGCCACAGGACCCCCCGCGGGACCCCCACAAGACGCCCCGGTGCACACTCCCCAGAGGAGGCTCCTGCTTCACCATGTCGGGGGCTCTAAACCGGGCCGCGCCGGGTCTGATGAGGTGGAGGCGGGGCAGGAAGGCAGGAACTGGGTCCAGACGCTGCCGGGAAGGGGCTGGCAGTGCTGGGGGGGAGTGGGGGCCAAGGCCCCTGGGGGCCCCTCTACCTAGGTGGAGAGCAGGGCGTGGCCCCGCTCTGTGCAGGGAAGGCCCGTGGGTGGGACGGTGAGGGGGCAGCAGCTGACCACTCAGGGCACAGCCACTGGTGACCAGTCCACTGGACTACACGGGGAACGCCGTGGGCTCCCCAGCTTTAGGGTTCTGGGATGGACAGAAAGGCTTGGTGAGGAGCACCCAGCTGCTCCCCAGCAGGCTGGTCAGGGCACTTGGTGGCCCCCAGGACCCCCAACTCCTGCCCCAGTCCCTGACCACGCGTCACCAGGGGCACGGCAGGGCCGGGTGCTGGTCACCACCCGGCTGTCTGCAGAGCAAACACAAAGCCCCCCACAAGCTCTTTCCAGGGAAATACCAAAAGGCGGGACAGAGGCCACGTGCTGGGCCGGCCACTCTGGCCACCCCCGGCCACCCCCGGCCACCCTGGCCACCCTTGGTGCCTCTGGGCTCGGCCCTGGGAGAGCCACCGCGGGCACCGGCCCCGCCGCAGGGGCTGGGCTGCCTGTCTGGCAGGACTGGCTGTCTCAGGGGCAGCGTGTCCCGGCCTCAGTGCGCCACCCAGGCAGGAGCTGACCGTCCTCCCGCCCTCCCAGCCACAGCCCGGTCCCCACTGTTGGTTTCGCTTTGTGGCGGCTGCAGCTGGAGCCCTGAGGGTGGGGGACACCCTCCTTCCGTCTCCTCCTGCCTTTCCACTGCCAGTGAAGTTTTCTAATCAGGAATATTGTGCTTTTCTCTGAAAAATGCAGACAGGCCCACCCAGCAGGGCAGGGGTTCCAGCCCAGGCCGCCCTCCCTCAATGTCCCGCCTACCGGCTTCCCGCCTGGTGGTGGCTCCCTGCCGGGCCGCCCCATCTCCCAGCAGTCGGCCGCCCCGCGGGGGGCGGGGTCACTGGGGGTCAGCTGGGCCCTGTGCTGGCTCCCGCCTGGGGTGCTGGCACGCGGCGTTCTGAGTACCCCAGGACAGCGACTCCGACCACCAGGCCCACAAGGTGCACGCAGAGGTGGGTCTCGGAGGGCACAGGGTGCTGGCGAGGAGAGGGTGGGCGCCCAGCAGCGGCAGGGCCCGAGGCCCGGGCACAGGGGCTGGGGAGGGGCTGGCGGCCGGCCCCGGCTCTCCTGCGCCCCAGCCCCGTTGGCGGGCGAGCCGCCTCCCTCCAGCGCCCGGAGCCCCGGAGAGGCCGAGCGGCGGGGGACCAGGCCTGGCCTGCTCTCCGCAGGGGCACGCCCGCCGGCACCCCGCGGCCCCTGGGGCCAAGCAGCTCTCCCGGCCCGCGGGCGCCCGAGCGCGTCCGCACCCGCGCAGCTGGCCGAGCGTGTGCTGGGTGAGCGGGCAGGCGGGGAGTCACGTCCTGCGTGTTTCCAGCTTTGACTTCACAGGTGGTTCAGGCACAGTCTGGATCCCGGGAACGCGTCCCGAGGCGCTTACCTTCCCTGCCCGCGCCTTCCCGCTGCGGCATCTTCTCACCCGCAGAGCCTGGAAGGGAAGCGAGGAGGTGACGGGCGGAGGGGCCGCGGGGCCGCGCCATCTGCTCCCGGCGCAGCCACCGGCGGTCACGGCGCTCGGCCCCTGGCACCCCAGGACGCCCTTGCCCGAAGGCCAGTCCTGGGCCGGGCCTGACCGCTGGCCACGAGCCTGGCATGGGTAGTGCACACCCTGCCGGGGCCGTGGACGGATGCCAACAGAAGCGCTTGAAAATAGTAAAAGTGCGTTCAAGCCCCCCCCCCCCACCCGCTGCAGCAGGAAGGCCCCGTCAGGAGAGCAACCGAAGCAGCAGACGCCGGCAAGAGGGTGTGGAGCAAAAGGAGCCTCTCCCATGGCCAGAGGGAGACCGGCCGGTCACGGCGGGGAGCCCGCGGGGTCCCGCTGAGCAGTGCACGCGGCTCTACCACGCGACCCAGCGACCCCGTCCAGGCACCTCCCCACGGACACGCACGAGCCCGGGGCAGCCTGCTCGCCCGTGTCTGCAGCCCCAGGTACAGCAGCCAAGACACGGAAACCCCCAAACGCCCCCAACAGGCGCCCGGACCCAAGAGCCGTGGTGCAGCCACACAGCGGGCTGTTGCTCAGCGATCGGAAAAGACACCCCCCTCGCAGGGACACGGACGGAGCCGAGGGGTGACACCGGCCGAAATCATCAGAAGGAAAACGAGCGCCGCCGAGGGCCGCGCTGCTCTGTGGGGCCTAGAGACGCCGCGAAAGGCCAGGGAGAGTCTCAACGGGCAGCTGAGGCCTCCAGCAAGGGGGGGCAAGACCGGCAGACGCAGGGGCTGGGGGGGGTGCTCGGCGAGGCGTGGCGGGAGAGCTCCGGGGACAGAGGTGGAAGGAAAAAATTCAATGAATCAAAAAACAAATCTTAAACAACACAACCCAGAGGCGCGCACGCGCGGGCGGGGGCTCCTGCTCCGCGGCGGCCGGTCTCCCCTCTCCAGACGCTGCCCGGGCGCCGGCCCTCCTGCTTCCTCGTGGCTGAATCTGCTCCGAGGAGCGGGAAAGAAAACCGCGCGGACGGAGCCGCGGCCCCTCGGCAGCAGCCCCCGAGGCGGGACCTGAGTCGCGGAGCGGGCTGCCCGGCGCTGCCCGGCGTCCCCGGGACGCAGGCTCTGGAGGCTGAGGGAGTCCGTCCTCGCTCTTGAGAGCATCGCAGCACAACAGCGGGCAGCGGAAGCGCTTCCTCGTGGACAGCTGGGGGCGAGGACTGGCCTCCTGGACGCTGGGCTCGGGAAAGGCAGGAAACCGTGCGGGGGGGTGGGCCTCAGCACCCCCAGACTAAGCCAGGGCCCCCAGGAGCCTTCCCGCCCACGCAACACACAGCCACCTGGGGGGGGCTGGGAGGGGCCGGCCGCTGGGGCCCCAGAGCAGCCGCAGACCGAGCTCTGCGTGGATGACAAAATGGTTCTTAAAAACAAGTGTCTCTGTGCAGAAACAAGCACTCGGATGTGTTTTAATCCCGCTAAGGGAGCCCCTGGCCCTGGCCGCTGGCCAGCCCCTGGACAGGTGGGCACCACCCAGACGCGCCCCTGCCACCCGTGTCCTGCTGCCACCGGAGCTGGGAGCCACGAGCTGGACCCCCACGCTGCACAGGGTGGGGGGCCGGACCCGAGGCCGAAACCGGGGACGTGCGGGGGTGCGCTCCACGACGTGGAGGCCAGGGCCACCCGAGCCGGCTGCGTGGCTGAACCCGCAGGCCCGAGGGCTCCCACCCGCCCGGAGCCTCTCGCGGGGCCGACAGCGCTTCCGAGAAATTAATCGAAACTCAGCACAAACTGCTTTCACACAAGCTGCTTTCGTTCAAAGCGTTTTTGGTGAAACAGGCCATTCTGTAGCTGCTCTGCCGGCGTCGCGGCGGCGCCTCCAGGCCTCGTGCCCGACACAGGGACCAGCCCCCGAGACGCAGCCCGCCCCGCCTTCGCCAGCCCACGCGCACAGGGCCACAAACCTGCCCTTCTTCAGCCCCAGCCAGCCTGTGCTCACGCCCCCGGCCCCTGCGCCCCTGTGGTTGTTTCCAGAAACAGGTGCCCGCGGGCTCTCGGCTCCTGGACGCGGCCCACGCCCCCTCCCAGACAGCCGTCCCTGAATTCCAAGGTGAGACGGCAGCGGACGAGGGGACTTACCTGGGCACCTGGGCGTCTTGTGGGCCACGGCGGTGCCGCTGATGGGCCGCCCGCTGGGCGTGACGCACCAGCAGTAGCCGGTGTAGCTGTGACACTGGACCTGCGGGGAGGACAGGGCAGTGAGGCGCGGCCACCACCTCAGCTCTGCACCGTCCAGGGCCCGAGGAGGCCAGGGCTTCAGGCCGCTGGGGTGAGACCCTGACTAGGGGCCCAGAGCACCCACAGGAAGCCCCCGGCCACCCCAGGAGCCCCTGCCCGCTGCGCCCCACTCTGCAGGGTCTGCCCTCGCGGCCGTGAGGCGCCCCGGCCGCCAGCCAGGGCCCGGCACCCCCGCCCCGGCCCCGGTCCCCAGCTGCTGAGTCTCCGTCTCTGGCTCTCTCCCCTTCTAGCGCTGCCTCCCCTGCGCGCCCCCACATCTCGCTCCCCCTTCAAAGGGCAGGTGATGATGTACAAAAAGAAGCCCACACTGCGACGCCATGGGGATTCCGGGCGAGGCTGGGGTGCCCAGGCGGGGCGTGGGTGGCCGGGGCGGGGCAGTGGACACAGCAGGGCGGGGCGCCCTCCCAGGCTGCGCTTCGGCCGCAGGGGAAGGTCAGTGACCAGCCGCCTCCCCGGGTTCGGAGGCGAGCCCCGGGCTGAGGGCAGGGCGGGACACGGCAGCGGCCGCGCTGCGGTGCTGGGACCGGGTCCCGGGGTCCGGGGTCCGGGGTGCCCGCCTGCGCTGGGCGAGCTCCTGGGGTGAAGCCGGCACGGATGTGCCGCTGCGGGCGGGACGGCGCCGGCGCCCGCTGGGCCGCCTGGGCCGGGCGTCTCTGGACAAGGGGCCGGGTGGGGGCTGCGCCCCACGCTCCCAGCCCTGGAGGGGGCCCCGCACCGGGTGTGGCGCCTCCTCTGACCGCGCCCCCCACCCCGGCCTGGACGCGTCAGGCCTCGCCGCGGGGGCCGGGCGGTCGCGACCCGGCCGCCCCCCCCGCGGCGCCGGCTCACCTGGCTGTAGGTGCCGTCCTCGCGGCACTCGGGCACGAACACCTGCTGCAGCTCCCGCCGCGCCTGCTCCTGCGTGTACTTCCTCTCGGCCACGCAGCGGGACACGTCTGCGGACGCGCGCGTCAGGGGGCGCCGGGCCTCCGGGGCGAGGGCGCTCGGAGCCCGGGCCGCGCCGCCCGGGGCCCGGAGTGGCCGTGCGGCCCCTGGACCCGCCGCCCCGGCCCGGCCGCCCCGCGACGGCACCGCCCGGGGCCACGCCCACCCGCCCGAGGCCACGCCCACCCGCCTGGGGCCCGCCCGAGGCCTCGCCCACCCGCCTGGGGCCCGCCCGCCCGCCCAGGGGCCACGCCCACCCGCCCGAGGCCACGCCCACCTGCCCGAGGCCACGCCCACAGACAGAGACCACGCCCAGCACTCGGAAGCCACGCCCCCATCACGGACACGCTCCCGACGGCTGCACCGGCAGGACCCAGTGCCCAGGGCCACACAACCCGGCTGGCCGCGCCGCCCACCTTTGCAGCTGCCCCGGTGGGCGACTTCCAGCCGGGGGTCTTTGCACTTGGCGCGCTGGAACTCGCAGCGAGATGAGAAGGTCCTGCCGTCCGAGGCGCAGAGGGGCTTCTGCGGGGCGCCCCCGCAGTCCAGGCTGCAGTCTTTGTCCTTGTCTTGGTCCACTCGCAAGAACTGGGGGGGCGGGGAAGAAACCAGGCAGGTGAGGAGAGCGGCCACCACAGGAGCAGGCGAGACCCAGCCCGCCGCCCTCCGGACACCAGCCGCCTGCCTCAGGCCGACCCCAGGGCCTGGCCCCCGGGACCCTCAGGAGGGCCGGGCACAGGCTGCAGCGCCCCTTGTTTGCCAGGGCCACCCGCCAGGGTGACACAGAGCCCGCTGGCCCCAGCTCGGACCCCAGCAGCCAGCCCCCGCCTGGCCCACGGTGTCAGCGGCGCCCAGCTTCAGAGTGGGCAGCGTCCACCCGGTCTGCAGGCGGCCCCAGCAAGGCCAAGTGACAGGGCGCCCCAGCCCCTCCCGTCCGCCCCCACATCTCGGGCCGTCCGTAGCCCTGTCTCCCTCTGTCGGGCAGGCAAGGTACCAAGAGTGGCAGGACGGGGGGCCTGCGCCATTGGCCCCCGACACCGCCTGCCCCACAGAGGGGTCCCCGCAGGAGCACAGAGCGTAGGAGGAAGGAAAGCCGGCTGCAGCCATGGGGGACGCCGCGGGGTGTCCGCTCCCGGCCTGTGAGGCTGGCTCTGCCCGGGGGTGGACAGAGCTTGAGCGCCATGATCGTGTCCCCCTGCGTGCCCCCTCCAGGGCCCTGCGCCCAGTCCTGCACTGCTGGTGGCAGTGGGGAGGGGGCCTGAGGACAGCCCTGGGGTGGGAGTGGCTGGGCAGAAGTCAACCCAGATCAGGGTCTCGAGAGGGGACCCTGCCGCTCTCCACGGCTTGGCTCCGCCCTGGGGTCCTTCCATCTAGGGGCAGGAGTCACAGAGCACCCATCTAGGGGACGGCGTGTCTCAGCTGTTGCTGGGTTCCGGCTGCAGGAGAGCAGGCGCAGGGGAAAGAGCAGCCGGGCCCGCCCCTCCCCAGCTGCGACAGCGCCCAGGGGTGCGGGAGCCCGGCAGCACGGAATCCTTGGCACGCCTCCCATCCAGCCCTACCACGCTGCCCGGGGTCCAAGTCCAGGAGGTGGGGGAGGGTGGGGCGGCCCCTTGGCACCTGTCTGCTAAATGGCTATTAGCATTTTGTGCCCCTGAGCCTGGGGCGGGGCCGCTGCAGGCCAGCCTGGGTCCGCTCACGGCAGTGTGGGGAGCCGCCCCCTCCCTCCTGGACAACTGGGGAGCCCTGCCAGCTCTGACCAACGCCTGGAACAACGCCAGCCAGGCCAGGGAAACGGGAGGCCGCCATGGAAGCAGAGGCCAGACGAACTCGGCTGCCCCCGCAGTCCTGGCGCCCTCGGCCTGCCTCACAGCACCTTCGCCTGGGCGGCTGCTCCTGCTCCCGCGGGGACTCAGTCTCAGCACAGGCCAGCGACCACCATGGAGCCAAGGGAGGGCTCAGGGCAGGCGCGGGAGAGGAGTGGGCGCCCTCGGACAGACGGCCTGACCGGGAGCAGAAATGAACATTTGTGCGCGTTTGGAAAAGGAATTCTAGTCAACCCGAAGCTCCTCCAGTGCGCAGGCGGCAGACACGGGCCTGCCATTTAAGGTGGCGCCCGGTCACGAGGGCGTGCTGGCACACAGCAGCCCAGGACGTCTGCCCTAACATCTTGGCAGGTGCTTTCTGGGTGCCCCCCTGCTGTGAAGCCCACGAACCCCAGGGAAGCACCTCGCAGGTGAGACACAGAGTGACGGGCCCCAGTATCTCGCAAATCCAAACCCGTAGTTAGTGGAGTTCCAGCCGCTGCCCCTCAGAGGCTGCCCGAGCTAGCCCCGCCAGCCGCCCCGCTCCTCCCCGCACGACCACCCTCCCCTGCTCGCGAGGGGGCGTCCCGCAGAGCCGATCCTCAGGACTTCCGCTGTCGTCGCCTCTAGTCCTGGGGGGGGGACACGTGGGGCCCAGGAAGCTTCCCGTGGTCACACCCACACCCCAGGCCACCCGCTCGGAGCGTCCAGACTCCTGGACCCTGTCCCACATGAGGCGCCAGGTCTCAGAATGCCACCAACTGCCCAAAGTCCTCCCATCACCCAGAGAAGCCGCCTGGTCACCAAGCCTTGCTCGGGAGCAGTGCCCACTGAATTCTGCAGGGGTGACCTTGGATGGGCAGTGGATGGCATCGTGGTGGACAGATGGCCGCTCGGCTTGCAGCTCTGGACAGCCTCGAGGCGACACACCCACTGTCAGCCACTTACTGCAGCAGCGGGCGGGAGGGCGGTGGAGGCCGACCCCAGCGGGTCCGCTCACGCCCGGCCCGCGCCGGCCTCTAGAACACGAGGTGGATGGAGGGAGGGAGGCCGAGCTAGGGCCAGCCGCGGCCTTCGGGAACGAGAACGCCTGGCTTCTGAGCACCGGTGGCTGCTCAGTCAGGGGGCAGGCGGCGGGCGCCCCGAGTCTGCCCCACAGACGCTGCCCTCGGACAGCGGCGCGCTCGCCCGCGTGGGGAACGGGGACGCACTGGGACCCCAGGCTGGACTCCCCCCGGAGTTGTGTAAATCCCAAAGAGAGTCATTACCCGAGGGGAACGCGCATCCTGAGCCTCACTTCCAAAGTAGGGAAACGGGGGCCAGTGAAGAGAGAGGGGCGGGGTGAGGGGCTCCCGAAACAGTCGCTGTCCCTCAGGGAGCAGCCCAGATGGGCCCCGGCAGGTGGGGCACCGAGCCCCCCGCCCTGCGCGGGTCGCTGACTCCCTGAGCCAAGGCCCCGCCAGGGCCGGTGTCTGCAACATTCTGGCAGCGACCCCGCGCCAGGACCAGGGCCCCCCATGACGCGGACTCCCCACTTCCCGCCATTCTGCCGACGGGATGGACGGCGGCCGCAGATGAGTCCCTGCGTGGCAGAGTGGGGCAGTCACGGGGCATCGCGGGCGACCCGTACTGTGACCCTGACCCTCAGGCCTGCGGCTCGGCCTGGCCGCTGTGAGACGCCGGGGCCTCCCGCAGGACCCGGCTGGGGGAGCCCGGGGAGGGGGGCACAGGGGAGCTGCGGCCCCGCCCACCGCAGGCCCCGCCCGCCCGGAGTCCCCTCCCCCACAAGGCCCCGCCCCACCCCCTCTGCCCATAGGCCCGCTCCACCCGCAGCCCCGCCCCTGCCGCCCTCAGGCCCCGCCTCCAACCCAGGCCCCGCCCGCTCAGGCCCCGCCCCCAGGCCTGCTTGGCCGGCGGCGCTGCGGGGGGCGCTCGCAGATGCTGTTGGGGTCCCCGAGTCTCCCCGGAGCATCCAGTCCCGACCCGTCACAGGCGCCTCCTCCCCGCCTGCGGGCTGCGGTCCGGCCTGCTCGGCTCGGGGGGAGGGGAGGCCGCCGCGGCCGGGGTGGTGGCAAGGTGGGGGTGGGGGGGGGCGCGGCCTGGGTGGTGGCCTGGGTGGTGGGGGGGGGGCGCGGTCGGGGTGGTGGCAGGGGGGGGCGCGGCCGGGGTGGTGGCGGCGGGGGGGGGGGGGGGCGCGGCCGGGGTGGTGGGGGGGGGGGCGCGGCCGGGTTGGTGGCGGGGGGGGGGGGGGGGGCGCGGCCGGGGTGGTGGTGGGGGCGCGGCCGGGGGCTCCCGCAGGCTCCCGCGTGGCGCCGGCGCTGCCCCATGTCCCCCGCGGCTGAGGGCGGGCCGGGCCCGGGCCGCGGCCGGGCGGCGTCGGAGCCGCAGGACCCGGGCCCGGGCGGGCGGGCGTCGCGCAGCCCGGGGGCTCCCGGCCCGGCCCCTGCCGCGTGCGCCCCGAGGTCCGGCAGGGCGGGCGCGGGGCCGGCCACACGGCCAGGCCCCCAGAGGCAGCCCAGGGCGGCCCGTCCTCCGCCGCGGGCGACAGCGCCAGAGAACGCGCGGCCGGTAGCGGGGCGGGGGGCGGGGGCGAGGGGGGTCCCCCGGGGCTGGGGCCGGCGCTGGCCGCGGCCGCGGGGATTTGGCGCGAACCCGAACCCGAGGGCGCGAACCTGCTGCCCGGGACCGGAGGCGCCGCCCGCCTCGGCGCAGAAGCCTGACTGCCGCCCGGGCGGGCCCCGGCGCGGGCCCAGAGCCGTCGAGGCGCTCCAGGGGCCCGAGCCCCGCCCAGGGCCGCCGCCAGCGCCGCGAGCCCGCCCGGCGCCTCCGCGTCCGCACCGAGGCCTCTCGAGACGCCCCGCGTCTGCTCGTGGCCCCCGACACACACGGCCCGGCGGCGCCACGGCGGTGGGGAGCCCGGGCCTCGGCGCGGTGCCAGGAGCCCGGCCCCGCCAGGCCCGGCGGCAGCTCCAGTCCGGGTCTCCCGAGAGCCGCTCCGCGGACTCCACTCCCGACAGACACTCCCGGCTCTGACAGCCGCACCCGCGCCCCGCCGGGCAGAGCCCCACCCCGCCAGGGTGCAGCGCCCGCCGGGCAGGCCGGGCCTCCCCGGGGAGGGGCGAGAGCGGACGGGGTCCTGCGGAGCCCCAGCCACCCCGGCACCCCGGGCCCAGCCCCTAGGGAGCCAGGAGGCTGCCTGCCCTGCCCTACCCAGCCCTGCCCTACCCAGCCCTGCCCTGCCCTGCCCTGCCCAGCCCTGCCCTGCCCTGCCCTGCCCCTGCCCTGCCCTGCCCTACCCCAAACCCCCAGCCCTGCCCAGCCCCGCCCCTACCTTGCCCCTGCCCTGTCCCCTGCCCTTTCCCTGCTCTGCCCAGCCCCTGCCCTGCCCCTGCCCAGCCCAGCCCCACCCCTGCCCTGCCCTGCCCCTGCCCAGCGAGGTCCCTCCTCAAGGGGCTGGGCCAAAAATCCAGACTCAATGCCAGTTCCTTCCTTTACGCCTGCACCTATCACACCAGACCCCAAGCCCTGCCCGGGTGACGCACACCCCACACACACACGCTTAGACTCGCTCACACACGCACGTGCACACACACTTGCTGCAGGCACGCCGGCTCGCGCGCACGCACACTCCCTCCCAGCCCCGGCCTGCAGCGTCAGTGAGACCTGAACGCTGACCAGGCACTTGCACCCTCAGAAACGGCCTCTGGGTGTGGCCAGCCTGGAGGGGGGACCTGTACCCCTCCCTCTCAAGGGCCCCTCCCCCTCCCCTGGGTCCCCCCGCAGGAC